GTATGCAAATGTGTCCTTATCCCCGAGTCCTGTCCCTTCGGAAAGGGATGTAATACTCGAAAGAAAGTTCGAGAGCGCTGGATAAGATAAACTTGAAAGAGATAAGCGGTTTCTCAAAGTTTCTTACGGAGTTTCATCGTAATTTAACATGTTCAGTCGTTTTTGTTTCGTTTTCTTTTGGAACGGTTTGGTTTTCCGATATTCCAGGAAAATTTATATATGTAGAGGTACACCTACACACACATATATATAAATTACGTTACGTAGTTCGTTATTTTATAGTTACTGTTGGAAGTTTTGAAAGTGTTTCTTATTTGAAATGTTTTCGCCAGAGTTAGTGGTTTGGATTGCATTTATAATCCATTTATTTGGTTTTTAGCGTGCTCATTAATCTAATGGACGGGGCCGGCTTACGATTTCGAAAAGTCGATTTTCTCCATTATTCATTCCTTGTCTTCCAAGTCCAGACATAAATCCTCAATATCGAGTGGTTCGACTCGCTGCCGTTTTATTATCTGCGTCGCAATTCAGATTAACGTTTAAGAAATAAAGGTCAGACACCCGCTGTTATTATCATAAGTATGTATAGTGTCTGTCACCGTTACTGTCACTGTCATCATTAGACGTGCACAAATACCATAAAAGGTCTGCTTGGTTTGAGGACTCATTATCCCTTTTCCTCCTTCTCCTGGATCTGTTGAAACATTTTATCGATCTGGAGAAGATTGCACACGGCGAACGTTATCAACAAGTGTGTATTGTCTTCGTCCTGTGGCAGGAGCGGCAACGGCAGGACGTAGAACGAACCCGATGGAGGAGGGGTGAGGGCGTAAGGGAATATATAGTTGGGAAAAACAGGAGCTCTCTACTTGCTCACAATACATATACCTACTTACTTCGTTCTTCACAAAACCATTCTCTTTCCCGCACTATCTCCCCATGTTGTCGCGTCTAGTCTATCTCCTCTCTTCCCGGTTCCCTAAAATCCTACAAAATTTCCACCAAGCGAGACGTTAAGGAAATTACCATACTCTGTGACCCCTTAGGGGGTGGGTTAAATTTTCGTCAAGTAGTCAATATCCTGTAGGGAAATCTCACGTTTTTTAGAGCTCTATTCCCAACTTTCTGTTTGGGAAAAACGATTTAAAGCCATATTTATGAGTTACTAAGTGAAAAATAGATGGGTAGGGGGTCTTGACATGTACTAAGGGTGATAACAGATGGGGGGAGTAGAAATTGTAAAAAATGGGTCACATAGTATGGGTACGTTCCCTCTTATCTCATGTAGATAGATACGTTAAGTTATGTGGAAGATGGAGAAGTCAAAAATTGTTGAATTTATAAAAGACCCCTAAAGACAATCAAATATCTCCCTTTCCTAATTTCGGAGAGAGTTTGGGCCCACAACCCCCTTCTTCCTCCTTCAACGTCGATGCAAGCATGCAAGTAATATAAGTTCCATGATGTAGGTACAATGTTAGAAGCCCGTGTTTGCTCCAGTTAAAGCTTTTGTAACAGTTTGCTGTTAGCAACGGTGGTGGTCGAAACGCGTTTGTTTCGATGCATGTCTGCAAGCAAAACACAACGCCAAGCCAAGCAACAATCGTCTGCTGTTCCATTTTCAATATGAAACTTCCCTATCTCATCCTCTATCCTGTTGTATTATTGTTGTTTACTATTCTGCACGTCAGCGTTGCAAGGAAGACGTATTTTTGTTTGTCGGTTTTCTTTTTCTATCCGCGCCATGCAGGTGTCGTCTTCTATTGATTTTTGTTTTGATTCGTTTTTATTTTTTAAACCAAAAAAAATCGCAACTGTTTCTCAGTCTAAGATTTACATGCTGCATTGTTCGATACAACCACTAGGTAAAAATTTTTCGTAGATTTTCTTGTTTATTTTGCACCAGTTGTTTTACATATTGGTCAGTGGGTCTGAATTTATTTGTATGTCCCAGGATGAAATGCTTTCAAGTGACGATTATTATTCATACTTTCGTAGTTCTAAAACTGAATGCAGAGACCGTTCTCGCCCCGTCTCTTTTTCCGTAATGATTTTTGTTCCTCGCAAATGGAAATTTTATGCAGATCATTGAAAATTACGACATGAAAGTGATGTTTGATTAATTTTTCTTTTTTCTGGACAGACTGTCGTTTCTATACTCTCAACTCTAGCAAAAATTGAAAATTGAAGGTTAAGTAACAATGTTGAACGCTTTAAGATTATTTATCTTTCTAGGTGCTAAGCTTCTGGGGCCTTTGCCAATTAATGGCATTAACTCTTTTTGATTATTGTCGTTTCAATTCAATACTGTTACCCCTTAAGTAAAATTTTAAAAAAATTTTTGATTTCAAATTTTGGTGGAGACGCCAGGAAAGTTTAATAAAACGGTTACAATTAAGCATTAATTTCTCTTCTATTGTAACAAATCGATTAATATCCTCTCTAGATTATATTTTCTTTTTAAAAAATCGGTTCGGAGCGATTTTTCTTCTATTTTTATTACTTTTTCGTTAAAACTGAAGTTTATAACTTTCTAACTTGTTGTTCACTTGTTGATTAGTTAGACGATCAATAGCTGCGACTTGTTTTATGATGGTAAAAGGAACATTTACGACGGAAGTAGTTGGCAAGGCATAAATTGAGGGGCTCGACCTAGATAAACCAGGAAAATATTACACGCACTTCCGTTTTTTAAATCAATGTCGTGTCTATCTTCATTCTTATATTCCACGTTTAACGGTGCCACAACGACTTACCCGTTTTAAAACTTGAACCCGAACCCGAACTTTGGTTTTTACCAATGTAATAGCAATTAATTGTAAATCTACTGATTGTTGTATTCATATTTCAAATGTTCTACAGTAAATCTGCCTCCCATTCTTCGTACGTAATTTTTGTAGTTGTAAACATTTTTTGGTTACAAAAATTGTGGTAGTTTCTGAATTTAATCGTCGTTTGATAGCGTTATCTCTTTTTATTATCTCATTTAATGGCGTCTGATAAAAAAAGGTTCAAACCCACGACGACATTAACTTTTTATGTTCTACGCCCATCACTGTTCAGCTCATAATTGCGATATTTTTTTATCCGCAGCTTAGGTGTAATGTAACGTAATATTTTTGCCTGTGCCTGAAACTTGAAACACTTGATGATGACATTTTATGTAGGTACTTCTTCATTTCCTCCGTGTCAGTTATATTTTACTAAATGTACGTGGAAGGGTTGGCGTCCGTCGGGGTGAAATTGGTTTCTCGGCGTCAGTTTTTTTTTATGGAGAAACCGCTTCCAGTGTGTTTTCGTGTTAAATTCAAACTTTCTGACTACATTTTCGGTTTACCTGTACACAAGGCATCGTATAAATCTAAAAAGTTTTATTTAGTTACGGCGCTTTTAGTGCGAAACTTTACCCCAAGACACAATCTTTCTTTATTCATCTTTTAGCGAAGGAAATTGCTTATATTTATCTCTGACAAGACAAATGCTGTTTTAAATATGCATTATTAGGGGGTGGTGGCTGTAACAAAGTAAGACAATTCTTATTAATCAGTATCTTCTCTCTGTACCGCGGCCGTCAGTACGGAAAGCTACTGTTAAAAAGGAAAATAGAAAATCGAAGCGTTCCAAACAAGTGTTAAGTGCATTATTTATTGAGTAAATAAGGGAAATGGCGGAATCGGCAAGATAAACGGCTCCAAAAGTGTTGAAAGATTAACATTATTTATCTTTATAGCGCTGGGGAGTTTGCCAATTCTAACCAGATGTGGAATGTCCAAACTGTAATGACTTTGCATGGTGTACACTTTAAAAGATAGTTTCAGTAATTTATTTTTTCTCTAATTTAGCGAAAATTTAAATAATTCACTGATTTTTATGTTGTTTTTGGTCCAATTATTTAAAGAAAGAGCGAATATAAAGATAGGAGACGAAAAATTAGAAGAAGTGGCTGATTTTAGATACCTAGGAAGTCAGATAAGTCAGGATGGAAGGAGTGGTAGGGATATAAAGCAGAGGATAGCGCAGGGTCGTGTCGCCTTTAATAAAAAGGAGTCACTTCTATGCTCGCGAACGGTTAATTTAGAAATTCGAAAAAGATTGTTAAAGGTGTATGTTTGGAGCGCGGCGTTGTACGGGTGCGAAACATGGACAGTGGGTGTGGCGGAAAAGAAAAGGTTAGAAGCTTTCGAAATGTGGTTGTTATAGGCGAATGATGAGGATAACGTGGGTAGAAAAGGTTAGAAATGAAGAGGTATTGGAAAGAATAGGAGAACAGAGGACTCTATGGAAGTCAATAAAAAATAGGCGAGATAGGTTGGTAGGACACCTTCTCAGGCATGAAGGTCTAGTCAGAGACATATTAGAACCAGAAGCAGGAGTTAGGAGGGGTAGAGGTAGACCCAGATTAGATTACTGTTCGCAAGTAGTTAAGGATGTGGGTTGTTCTAGTTTGAGGGAAATGCAAGGATTAGCTTAGGATAGGAAAGAGTGGAGGTACGTGTCCAACCAGTCTTAGGACTGATGACCTTATGATGATGATGATGATGATGATGAAATATATAACAAAGATAGGAGACGAAAAATTAGAAGAAGTGGCTGATCGTTGGTATCTTAATAGGAAGTCAGATAAGTCAGGATGGAAGGATTAGTATAGGTTTAGGGAAACGCGAAAATTATCTCAGGATAGAAAAGAGTGGAGGTGCGTGTCCAACCAGTCTTAGGACTGACGACCCTGTGATGATGATGATGAAATAATAAGGACGCATTTCATATAAACATACGTCTAATATCACCGTGTAGGCCAGCCCGTTGAAAAATCGTTAGACATGCTTTTTCTTTAATTACCTCATTCTAGATAATTACATGACTAATTACTGCTGCTGTGTTCTTATTCTACAGTAAGTAATTAAAGTGCAAAAGCGAGACCCAAATGGAGCCAGCTTTAAAGCCTCAGAACACCACAATTGCCCACGGATTATACGTATTGGTTTTTTGGTTTGTTTCAGACGTTTCGTCATGGATTTCCGTTTCAACCGACGGCAATGGCTTTCGACCCCGTTCAGAGACTACTCGCCATCGGTACAAAGGGCGGATCACTTAGAATGTATCCTTTAAAACAAAAGGTAGACTAATGAGGCACGAGGGGGTAAGTCTTCTTTCATTTTTGGCGACTGTTTTTCGTTGGGAACTTTTTCTGTTTGCTTTTCTTTTTTTTTACGACACTTTGCGGAAACGTAAAAAGGCAACGTTAATTTTGGGGAAGGACAATTAAAGAGTTGCGTCATTGCCAAGTGGTTTCTTCAGTTTATTTATTAAGGAGGGAAATTGGACGACCAGTGGCTAAGGAAATTATCATTTCAAACGCAAATTACTAGAAGGAAATTGAAACGCATTACGAAAAAGTAAATTTGCTTTTGTTATATTACACGTTTAGGTTACTTAGTTAATTAAGAGAGTTTTTATGTTTATGTGAAAGATCTTAGAGCAATGGCTCTTGAAGATGTTGTTTTATGGTCCTCTAAATGCCCCGTTAAAACTTCCAAATGAAACTTCCCACGGGTTTTTTCAAACATTAAAAGTATTTTCTTATTTCCTATAGCTCACTCTAGATAAATTAGTCGCCGCGCAAATTACGATGAAAAATTAAATTTCGAGGAAAACTTGAATGTGTATACATATTTCTACCCGTGTTTTTTATACTGGGAATTTCCTGGATGAAGGGCAGAAAAATTTAATATTCCTGGGAGCTATTCCCGTTCTAATCGACACTTGTAATGGATCTACTTCGTAAGCTTTCTCTACTAATACGTTCGGATTTTGACCAGCGTTAGCAGACCTCGGGAAACTTCCCTGTACTTTGCTAATTTTCACGTAGGTGCACCTCAGTGCGCGTATAGTACATACATGTATGTATGTATCTGTATACACAAACGCTATTTTGTAGGGTCGGAAATCCAGATCAAATTAGCCAGATGTTTCCGGTGGAAAATTGAATTCGAAATTGGCTCAATTGCCTCAGGAAGTGGCGGGCGATTTCTGATTTAAAAAATTTACGGTTAATAGATTCCGTAAATTGTATCTGTATTTTTCATTACTCAACGGTTCATGCCGTTGCACAATATAATAAATAATTTAAAATGTAACGTAAAGTTTTCAGTTGTAAATAATCAAACCGCTTTCTAACGTTGGCGGTTCCGATAAAGTATCGTTTTGTACAAATTGCAACAACCGATGTGAAAACTGGAAAGGAATGGTTTTGTCTATCTTCATACATTGTAACAAATAGAAAATCGATCTTTATACCGTCTAGGTCGAAAAGAATACATTTGTTATTCTCTGTTATTCTGCAGATATTTTCAATACCCATCGATACAACGAGCTTTTCTCGGTGTTGCTTATTCGATCTTGGTCTTCCTCAAATACTTCTAGTCTTGGTTTTACAAAGAAAAGGTTAGAAGCGTTCGAAATGTGGTGTTATAGGCGGATGATGAGGATAACGTGGGTAGAAAAGGTTAGAAAAGAAGAGGTACTAAAAAAGAATAGGAGAACAGAGGACTCTATGGAATACAATAAAAAATAGGCGAGACAGGTTGGTAGGACACCTTCTCAGGCATGAAGGTCTAGTCAGAGACATATTACAGGCAGAAACAGGAGTTAGGAGGGGTAGAGGTAGAACTAGATTAGATTACTGTTCCCAAATAGTTAAGGATGTCGGTTGTTCTAGTTTTAGGGAAATGCGAGGTTTAGATCAGGATAGGAAAGAGTGGAGGTACGTGTCCAACCAGTCTTAGGACTGACGACCTTATGATGATGATGATGATGAAATATATAACAAAGATAGGAGACGAAAAATTAGAAGAAGTGGCTGATCGTTGGTATCTTAATAGGAAGTCAGATAAGTCAGGATGGAAGGATTAGTATAGGTTTAGGGAAACGCGAAAATTATCTCAGGATAGGAAAGAGTGGAGGTACGTGTCCAACCAGTCTTAGGACTGACGACCTTATGATGATGATGATAACTGGTTTTACTGAAATAGCCTCGATTTTGATCTTGGTCTTGCGTGTTAAGTCTTGATCTTGCTCACTTAATCAATTATTTACGTTTTTTTAATATTAAATTCTAAAATTTTCTATCATACATGCGAGCTTATCAACTAATACAATTAATTTTCCAATTTTCTAATACATATGTACTTTACCCCCCGGGCTACAATAGTTATGTGTATGTTTTGCTAACTGGCTTTAGTCTGTTTAATTGTCGTCGAAATTAACTGAGAACGTAGCAAAGAAGGGTACGAGTTTCGGACCATTTATTAATCCAATTTTCGTCACTCTGTAGCTCACCACAAAAGCAATAATTTTCAGCGTAAACTTTGTGCGATAATTAAATCCGTCAACAACAATTACCGGAATAGCCGTGGTGGTGTTGTTATTAGTGCATCAGTGTTATTAGCGGGGATGTTGCTTATTTTATAACAGAAGATTGTTTATACGGGACTATCGCGGCGGTGACGGCATAGGCGAGTGCTTGATAAATTGGTTTCGTATTAACGCTGACATTTGTAGGCAGGTTTAGGTAGTCCCGAGGGAAAGGTGGGACTCCCGCAGTTGTACACACACATGTGGCAAATTGTGAAGCAGACACAAGTGTGTTCTTTTCACAATAAGCACAGTAATAATTAAAAACACTACAGTGATTATAAAAATTTAAAGATTAGCATGTGGCCATAAGAATCCCCGGGGAAATATAAGGAAAGTTCGGTAAAAAAATAGGAAATGGAAAGGAAATTCATTTGATAACGCCGCCGTAACGTTCCAAACACTGACTAAATATAATAAAGGTTCTATTTAATTATTTGTGTAGTATACGGGTCGAGTTAAGCGGTCGTTTTTCTTTTTCTGTTTTGAAATTGTGGTCACTTCCGGGAAATGCTCCAAACAATGGTTTTTATTACGGTGTGCATATTTAACATGCCCATTACCAAGCAAGTTCCGCTGCTTGGATTTTCCCCATTCCAGTCTAAACGAACAAACAAAAACGGGGGATTTTAAACTGGAAAATTTAGCTACATGTGCGGAAAAGTCTTTCTGTTCCATGCTATGCTAATTTTTTGAAATTTCGTCTCCGTTTTATTTCGTTTATTAGTGTGGCCTCACGAATATTAGTTTTACCTGCTTCTGGATTTCCATAAAAAGTCGCTTAGAGGAATGTCGAGTCGGGGCGTAAATTAGAGCGAAAAATCCGATACAGAGCAGCGAAATTATCATAGAAATTGAAAAAAATGCCTCCTATCGGCTAAGGTGGAAATTCTTGTTTCTCTTATTTTTATGAAAAGAAGTTATGTCCGAATGTCCAAGATCTTCCACTAAATTGGTAAATGTTTTCGCGATCGATAGGTGAACTGATACTGATCCTAACGTTTCGCTAGCTTGACTGACTTCTTCAGAGGTTCATTCATCTCCAAGTCCAGATCCAGCATCGACGAACATTCGACCCGAATCAGAACTACATCAGTTCAATTCCAATTTATTTTCGAATTTTTGTAACTATTTGTCGGAAACTTTTCTTTTTGTCGTTGTTGTTGGCGTCGCAGTTTAAATGGTGGTAAATTATAGTGAATTGCGATCGTCGTACACGTGCCATTACAAAAGAATCAAAGAAGTGTGTGCAAAATATTCCACGTGTCTTTTCATTTGCCTGAGCGACTGTGAATAAAAGATTAAGAATGGTGACGAATGGTGAACGATGATTTTCTTTTAAATTACCTGCCTAAGTCTACGCCTTTCCAACTAGAAACTTTTTTTTTTATCCGAGTAAATCTTTCACAATTAGAAAACGCCAAGGATTTCTCGCTTTCTCGTTTAAAACGAACGTCGGTGAACCCGTTTTCTATCTTTCATCCCCTTTAGGAACGAATTGCTTTCATTAATTATCCAAAATCAAATCAGAAACGTTCGCGACGGGACGGCCGTTTTCGGTTTATATAAAATATAAATCAAACTTTATTTCTTATTCCCTCTGTTTCGGGCGCCTGTCCCCAAACAATTGATTAATCATGTTCCAATATTGGAAGCGAAGGAAGGTAAAGGGGTATGCAAACTGGCCTAACGAAGAAAGTTTTTTTCGTTAATGTGTAATCATTAATTTAATGTCGTCATGTTTAAATTAAGTTCGTGATTTAACTGATGGAGACATACAAAAACATATCGTTACATAAATCCATAAAATTTAACGTAATGGCAACTGTTAAGTTTTCGACGAGTTTGTCAACCAACGCAAAACATTATTACAAATAATACACGTGCTAAATAGTATTCTTCTTCGTATCCCCTTATTAGTAAAATAATAAATTGATAAATTTTAAAAACATCTGACCCCTGCCAATCCTTTTTAACCTGAGGGTCGTTGTGGCTCGATATAAAACAGTGCTGATAGAAAAAGGGAACAAGCAAGATTAACATGAAAAGGGATGATTTACGTTCATTTCGGGAGAATAGATGTAAAGCTTTCTATATGTAAATTTCAACTTTAATAAACGGTGAGCTACAATAAGTACAAGTTTTGGAGATGATTCTGGAGCACAAGATTTCGTAACAGAACGGATGTATCATCTTTCCGGACCGTAAGCTTTCGAAATGACCTTACAGACGAAACTTTGTTCAGGGCGTAACTCTCTAAAGATATTACGATGCCTAAAGGACACGCCGACGACTTAACTCGGAATTTGCTGTATTAGCGTTTGGGTACATTTCTAGCTAACTCTGACCTTTTCTACGTACCCAAGTAGATCCGATTATACAGGCGAAATTTTCTTCCTTCGTAATCGTATTATTATATATATAATATTAAGTATAATAAAGCGGAAATACTTATTTAGCATCGTTCGTTCTTTTGTGTCGCAATTTTCCTCTCTAAGAAATTTCCTTAACGAAACGTGGTTAGTTTGGGTCAGCCTGGTGTCGATGTGCACGTTAGGCACGACATGGACGGTCCTCCGAGTGCATCGGCGGTAATTCATCTACAGTTCCTTATTAACGAGGGTGCTATGGTGTCCGTTACGGCGGACGACTCCTTGCACTTGTGGAACTTTCGACAGAAAGTGCCCCAGATCGTGCAGAGTCTCAAATTCCAACGGGAAAGGTAATCGTACGAAATGTTTGCCGTTTCTGTTTCTCGTGATGCTATTTGTGAGTTTTTTTTTTATGCAGAATAACCACTATACATCTACCTCTCCAATCGAAATGGCTGTACGTCGGCACGGAAAAGGGTAATGTACATGTCGTTCAAATAGAAAACTTCGTTCTGTCAGGGTACATAATCAACTGGAACAAAGCCATAGAGATGTAAGTTAGACGGGGAATAAAATAGTCATCTTTCTTCATAAGGAATTAGTACATATTCTACGTTGATTCATTCACCTCCATCATCACCATTAGTGCATAGTATATTCCATTATCTCATCTATTATTTATCTGTCATAGATTTACAATATGATCATCATAAAACAAAGTAAATATTTCGATTTGAGTTAGTTTTAGACCATGGAAATTATGGTCGAGTGTCCGTTTGTTTCGTTTATTACTTGTTTTCCACTAGGTCTCGGAAAACGCACCCCGGCCCCGTTGTCCATTTAAGCGACAACCCTCTCGACGCAAACCGGGTAAGTTCTATCACAATAGAGTACACTGATGACGATCGGTCCAAGTTACTTTTTCTTTTCTTCTTCCTCTTACCCCCCACCCACAATAGCTGCTAATAGGATTTGAATCGGGACAAATTGTTCTTTGGGACCTGAAGAACAAGTCGGCCGAAATGCGGTGGCAAAGCCAGGAACCGTTGCGTTCCATCGCCTGGCATCACGAAGGAAAACAGTTCATGTGTTCCCACAGTGATGGATCTTTGACCACATGGAACATAAAACAGTTTGGAAAACCGGTGCACACTTCTCAACCCCACGGTAAACTCATTTGTCTATTTTGCGTTGATTCCACCCTCACTGTTGCCCTCCCTTTGTGTCGCTCTTTAATTTTCCCGGCTGGCTCTTTAGAATTTTGACGTTTACAGCAAAGGTATCGAAGGATGGTAAAATGGAGCAGTGCAAGCCGATCAATAAGGTGGAGTGGAAATTGTCCCGAGCGGGGTAAGTGTGTGTTAGGGTTAATTGAAGTTCGATAGGTTGTCCCTTTGTAAACACTTGGCGGTCTTTTAGAGAAGCGTATGTGATATTTTCGGGCGGCATGCCCTACGACCAATGCGGCAGAACGCCAAGCATCACCGTTGTACATAGCAAAACCACGACGGTGCTCGAAATGGAGCATAACGTCGTCGACTTTATAACTTTGTGCGAATCGCCGTACGTTAGCGGTAAGTTGACCACTCCGGTTGACATTCCTTCGCTCTCTAATAAATAATCTATTAATGAATATCAAAAAAAAAAAATAGAGATGCAAGAACCGTACGGGATCATTGTTTTGTTACAAAACGACCTGGTGGTGATGGATTTGCAGACGTCGGGTTTCCCGTGCATAGAAAACCCTTATCCCATGGACATCCACGAGTCCCCGGTCACCTGTTGCAACTACATGGCCGATTGTCCCGCCGATCTCGTGCCGGCTCTGTACTCGGTCGGGAGGGCTGGCGGTTCTGCCAAAAGGACGGGGTTTTCCGAAAAGGAATGGCCCGTCAATGGGGGCAACTGGTCCGTGCAGTCTTGCAGTTACAGCGAAATAATCGTGACAGGGTAGGTTGTACACTCAATTAGAATAGCTAATATCGAATCTAATAACACGATGGGATGCCGAACGTAGTCATGCAGATGGGAGCGTGAAATTTTGGGATGCGAGCGCCGGCACGTTACAGGTGTTGTACAAATTGAAAACGGCCAAACTGTTCGAACGGCCCAAGGCCAAGTCGCAGGACAGCGAGGACGAGGTGAACTGATACTGATCCTAACGTTTCGCTAGCTCGACTGACTTCTTCAGAGGTTCTTTCATCTCCAAGTCCAGGTTCAGCATCGACGACCTTTCGATCCGAATCAGAACTATATCAGTTCAATTCCAATTTATTTTCGAATTTTTGTAACTATTTGTCGGAAACTTTTCTTTTTGTCGTTGTTGTTGGCGTCGCAGTTTAAATGGTGGTAAATTATAGTGAATTGCGATCGTCGTACACGTGCCATTACAAAAGAATCAAAGAAGTGTGTGCAAAATATTCCACGTGTCTTTTCATTTGCCTGAGCGACTGTGAATAAAAGATTAAGAATGGTGACGAATGGTGAACGATGATTTTCTTTTAAATTACCTGCCTAAGTCTACGCCTTTCCAACTAGAAACTTTTTTTTTTATCCGAGTAAATCTTTCACAATTAGAAAACGCCAAGGATTTCTCGCTTTCTCGTTTAAAACGAACGTCGGTGAACCCGTTTTCTATCTTTCATCCCCTTTAGGAACGAATTGCTTTCATTAATTATCCAAAATCAAATCAGAAACGTTCGCGACGGGACGGCCGTTTTCGGTTTATATAAAATATAAATCAAACTTTATTTCTTATTCCCTCTGTTTCGGGCGCCTGTCCCCAAACAATTGATTAATCATGTTCCAATATTGGAAGCGAAGGAAGGTAAAGGGGTATGCAAACTGGCCTAACGAAGAAAGTTTTTTTCGTTAATGTGTAATCATTAATTTAATGTCGTCATGTTTAAATTAAGTTCGTGATTTAACTGATGGAGACATACAAAAACATATCGTTACATAAATCCATAAAATTTAACGTAATGGCAACTGTTAAGTTTTCGACGAGTTTGTCAACCAACGCAAAACATTATTACAAATAATACACGTGCTAAATAGTATTCTTCTTCGTATCCCCTTATTAGTAAAATAATAAATTGATAAATTTTAAAAACATCTGACCCCTGCCAATCCTTTTTAACCTGAGGGTCGTTGTGGCTCGATATAAAACAGTGCTGATAGAAAAAGGGAACAAGCAAGATTAACATGAAAAGGGATGATTTACGTTCATTTCGGGAGAATAGATGTAAAGCTTTCTATATGTAAATTTCAACTTTAATAAACGGTGAGCTACAATAAGTACAAGTTTTGGAGATGATTCTGGAGCACAAGATTTCGTAACAGAACGGATGTATCATCTTTCCGGACCGTAAGCTTTCGAAATGACCTTACAGACGAAACTTTGTTCAGGGCGTAACTCTCTAAAGATATTACGATGCCTAAAGGACACGCCGACGACTTAACTCGGAATTTGCTGTATTAGCGTTTGGGTACATTTCTAGCTAACTCTGACCTTTTCTACGTACCCAAGTAGATCCGATTATACAGGCGAAATTTTCTTCCTTCGTAATCGTATTATTATATATATAATATTAAGTATAATAAAGCGGAAATACTTATTTAGCATCGTTCGTTCTTTTGTGTCGCAATTTTCCTCTCTAAGAAATTTCCTTAACGAAACGTGGTTAGTTTGGGTCAGCCTGGTGTCGATGTGCACGTTAGGCACGACATGGACGGTCCTCCGAGTGCATCGGCGGTAATTCATCTACAGTTCCTTATTAACGAGGGTGCTATGGTGTCCGTTACGGCGGACGACTCCTTGCACTTGTGGAACTTTCGACAGAAAGTGCCCCAGATCGTGCAGAGTCTCAAATTCCAACGGGAAAGGTAATCGTACGAAATGTTTGCCGTTTCTGTTTCTCGTGATGCTATTTGTGAGTTTTTTTTTTATGCAGAATAACCACTATACATCTACCTCTCCAATCGAAATGGCTGTACGTCGGCACGGAAAAGGGTAATGTACATGTCGTTCAAATAGAAAACTTCGTTCTGTCAGGGTACATAATCAACTGGAACAAAGCCATAGAGATGTAAGTTAGACGGGGAATAAAATAGTCATCTTTCTTCATAAGGAATTAGTACATATTCTACGTTGATTCATTCACCTCCATCATCACCATTAGTGCATAGTATATTCCATTATCTCATCTATTATTTATCTGTCATAGATTTACAATATGATCATCATAAAACAAAGTAAATATTTCGATTTGAGTTAGTTTTAGACCATGGAAATTATGGTCGAGTGTCCGTTTGTTTCGTTTATTACTTGTTTTCCACTAGGTCTCGGAAAACGCACCCCGGCCCCGTTGTCCATTTAAGCGACAACCCTCTCGACGCAAACCGGGTAAGTTCTATCACAATAGAGTACACTGAGGACGATCGGTCCAAGTTACTTTTTCTTTTCTTCTTCCTCTTACCCCCCACCCACAATAGCTGCTAATAGGATTTGAAACGGGACAAATTGTTCTTTGGGACCTGAAGAACAAGTCGGCCGAAATGCGGTGGCAAAGCCAGGAACCGTTGCGTTCCATCGCCTGGCATCACGAAGGAAAACAGTTCATGTGTTCCCACAGTGACGGATCTTTGACCACATGGAACATAAAACAGTTTGGAAAACCGGTGCACACCTCTCAACCCCACGGTAAACTCATTTGACTATTTTGCGTTGATTCCACCCTCACTGTTGCCCTCCCTTTGTGTCGCTCTTTAATTTTCCCGGCTGGCTCTTTAGAATTTTGACGTTTACAGCAAAGGTATCGAAGGATGGTAAAATGGAGCAGTGCAAGCCGATCAATAAGGTGGAGTGGAAATTGTCCCGAGCGGGGTAAGTGTGTGTTAGGGTTAATTGAAGTTCGATAGGTTGTCCCTTTGTAAACACTTGGCGGTCTTTTAGAGAAGCGTATGTGATATTTTCGGGCGGCATGCCCTACGACCAATGCGGCAGAACGCCAAGCATCACCGTTGTACATAGCAAAACCACGACGGTGCTCGAAATGGAGCATAACGTCGTCGACTTTATAACTTTGTGCGAATCGCCGTACGTTAGCGGTAAGTTGACCACTCCGGTTGACATTCCTTCGCTCTCTAATAAATAATCTATTAATGAATATCAAAAAAAAAAAATAGAGATGCAAGAACCGTACGGGATCATTGTTTTGTTACAAAACGACCTGGTGGTGATGGATTTGCAGACGTCGGGTTTCCCGTGCATAGAAAACCCTTATCCCATGGACATCCACGAGTCCCCGGTCACCTGTTGCAACTACATGGCCGATTGTCCCGCCGATCTCGTGCCGGCTCTGTACTCGGTCGGGAGGGCTGGCGGTTCTGCCAAAAGGACGGGGTTTTCCGAAAAGGAATGGCCCGTCAATGGGGGCAACTGGTCCGTGCAGTCTTGCAGTTACAGCGAAATAATCGTGACAGGGTAGGTTGTACACTCAATTAGAATAGCTAATATCGAATCTAATAACACGATGGGATGCCGAACGTAGTCATGCAGATGGGAGCGTGAAATTTTGGGATGCGAGCGCCGGCACGTTACAGGTGTTGTACAAATTGAAAACGGCCAAACTGTTCGAACGGCCCAAGGCCAAGTCGCAGGACAGCGAGGACGATCCTTTCGCGATCCAAATCATCTCGCTGTGTCCCGAATCGAGGAAGCTGTGCGTCGCTGGCGCGTCCAGTCACGTCATCCTTTTCAAATACAAGAAAAGCGAAAGTAACGACGAAGTAACGGTAAATCGATAAATAAGTATGGTGTCGCTCATTGTTTCGTACGTGCGTTGTTATTGTTAGGTTCTGGAAATACCCATTGTTTACGAGATCGCCGACGACGGCGATTATTCTCCCGATTGCGAGTTTCCGGGACCAGGAAGCGCCGGTTCCGCCAATAAAATGGACGTGTTAGATTTTGACAATAAAAAGGTATAATCTACGTTAGCTTGTGACGGGTTTTGATAAGTATTAATGAATGTGGCACCGTGGCACTCATCCTTATCATTTCAAAAGTCTAAATTGATGTCGACAGACAAACCAAATTTTTAACTCACCCTTATCGTTTCAAAGGTCTAAATTGATGTCGACAAGGAGTTGTACCTTGAACGATTTCAAAACCAAATTTTTATTGATACTTATCAATACTTGCTAGTGAGAGGAACGGCATTGTTACTGTGATTATTGAAATACAGGAATCGTCGTTAAAAGTGAGACAGGGTGTCCAAAAAAAGGCGCCCGGTTTCCAAGCTCAATTGGTGTGTCTTGCCCCGTGGAACAACGGGGAACCACCGAGTCGAATAACAGCGTTAACGATAAACAGCTCGTACGGTTTGTAAGTATCTGCGATAAAAATTTGTTTGGTTATTGGTTGTCCTATTACACGGGCAATTCCAGAATGGTTTATGGCAACGAGGCTGGTATTGTGATCGTGGATATCGAACAGAAAATATGTCTGCTCAACATAGGCAGTCCGGATCTGTACGGTGCCCAAGATCCCTACTCGCGAGTCCCTCGTAGTCCGAAAAAAGGACAACTGGACACTTTACTGACAACCGCCGCCACGAATTCAGACCGAGAGGATAAACAACCACGGAGTCCAAGCGTTGACCAGGTAAATTGTTACAGTTCGCGATTATCGATGACGTGACGTTTACGTATCTAAAGATGATTGCCCCTGCCACACCCCTATCAAACACTACCACCACCAAAACTATTTCGACCGTATATTTTCGCGATTAACGACCCATACCACTCTTCCCACGGCCAGACCGTATACGAAACAAACCAAAACCGCTCGTATATTAACATCATCGCCATTATCATGTACATCTAGTTGGTAAAACATGTTGAGCCAGTATTTTTTCTATCACCTACTTATTTTAAGTGTGTACCTTTAACATCCGGAAGCAATTGGACCTTTGGCATGGTTTGTTTTTAGCTCCTGCACCGACTTTTATACATATTAGATAAGATAAGTAATCTTGCACTTATTCGGCAGTATTCTATTTTTCCTTTGTTGCTGGTTACTATGAGTTGCCAAATAAGAAAGAATCCGGTCACGACCCCGTCATGCATGCTTTATATATGTACTTGATAGATGGGAAAGACCCCATCGGAATCGCCTTGTCTAACTCCCGTCGATCCGGCATACGAAGCCACCGAGGACTTCCAGACCGTCACCCCGATCCCGGACAATAATAACCGTCGAAAATCGTCCACTTGGAAGGGTCTCAAACGGCGCTTGTCCAGGGTGGATCTCAAAGTGAAAAATACCATTCTCGGGGCCGCAGCGACAGACAAATCGAACGCGTCCTTTTACTGTGACGAGTATGACGATCTAAACGACGAAACTAGCGGAAGTGGTAGTAAGACGTCGCCCGAATCGGAAGAGAATACGATCATAGAGAACAGGAGATGTCCGACTCCGACGTCGCCAAAAAGTATCAAAAACTTCGACCTGATCGCCGGTCGCAGTCCTGACGACAGCGATTTCACTCCGAAAGCGGAGGAGGGTGTTTTCTCGGCAGACGATTCGGACAACTCCCCCCCGTACGGAAGTCCCAAAACGAGGCCTGGCAATCTGGAACTTGTTGACGAACACGGCCTTCCGATACGGCCCAGTAGGGGGAAGTACAAGAAAAAACAGAACAACAATAACAGGGACCAAAGGCTACTGTCGATACCGAATTTGAAACCGTACAAGCCGGACGTGCAACAGCTGAAAGACTTACGCGGCAAAGAGGAGGCGAACTACCATCATCCCGTTGGATCTCACCCGACTTTCGCCGGCAATTTAATGAGACGCTTCAGTAAGTTTTATAAAACAAACAAAAAAATAACAATAAATAAAACGTTGAGCTGTGTTTGAGCACCGTTTTTACCGCAGTCCTGTGACGGTTTTCTGCTTGCTCTTTATCATTTTCGTTTTTTCGATTAATATTTGTTCATTTATTTTTTGTATTTTGTGTAGTTGGTTACGTAATAATTATTTTAATTGAATTGGTACGTAAATAGGTAAGGGGATCTTGTCCTGATAGAATAGAGTGCAAGTCTCGGCTTTGTTTCTTCAGTAAAAGATCATCTTTTGTCATTTATGGAATCATTTAATTTTACAATAATACAAGACAGATCTTTTACTGGATAATGGGGCGGCATACATACATAAGCTTTTTCAACATCATGGACCATCTGTATAAATACATACCTTACAAAAATACACCCCAGTATACGTGTTCTTTTCTGACATAACTTCCTATTCGGTTTTTCGTCACAGCTTCTTGGCTAATTTTGCTTTTATATGAAATGTTTTGTGTTCAATTTTTCTTTATTGTTCGTCATTTGTTTAACATTATCAGTACCTACCACGTGTTTATTGTATTCGTTTTCAGCGTGGGGTGTTGGGTTTCTGACTTTGTTGTTCACGTTGGCTTTGGTATAAGTTGAAGATTGTGAAGAGGGCCTGTCTCAGAACACTACTGTTGGCCAAGTTAATCGGTAGGGGTGCTAACTAACAAAAAAAAAAAAATGAGTAGATCTCACGAACTCACCGATCCCATCACAAAATCCCACCTCCCCTCATTAAAATTTTATATGTATATATTTATATATTATACATACTACTTATATTAATTTAGAGGGCTTATTTAGCTGTCGCACCAATCGTAGATCGAACCAAAAAAATAGCATTTATTAACTACATCTACTTATATACAAAGCGATTAAAATAAATTAAACTTCATTGCTCGCTCCCCTATCGCATTTTTGAAACACTTTAATTAAACATAAAACAGTAGACACCCAATCGATAATTATAGGGATGAATAATGAGAAGGGGGGTGTGTCGGAAAAAAGCAACGATTTTTTATTTATTATAACTCGATAAAACTTTTATGAGCCTTCAGTTCGAAGGTTAATACGAATCTTGGGACCAGGACCGACGCAACCCCTACTGTGCATTCGGTGCCTATACGCACTGGTTATCACTGTCAAATAGTTAAAATTAATAATTATTCAAGTTGCAATTGAAAAAGCAATTAAAAAAACTTGTTGACGCTAAATTTATAGGCGCGTTTCGTCGCTGTTGTTGCTGTCACCTCTCGTAGCTTAGTGATCAGAGCGTTGGCGCGTAAAGCAAAAGGTCCTGGGTTCGATTCCCAGCGAGGACGTGACAGCAACAACGATTTTTCCTCGTTAATGTGAGGTAGTCTACAGAGGGTAGAATATGAATTCACATTGTTAATGTATACTTAAATCTACTACCTGTTGTAGATGCAATAATAACAATAATGACACGTAATACATTAGTACATATGTTGGCATTATTAGTGTTGGATAGTTGTAAGAGTGTGGTGGTGTTGGTTGTTACGTAGATAAACGGAGTGTGTATCAGCCCCATGCAATCGGCCTCCGGTGGTGGACCAGTAGCGGGCGTCGTCGCGGCGTCGGGCTCGTCGACGTCGTCGTCGTCGTGTCCCGTTGGTTCTGGCCAGTCCCAGTCGGGGAGCCGCCGCTGTGCCGAGCCGCCCCGCCGTTCCAGATCGCAAGGTACTCGCAAACTGCACAAGTGCCTTTCAACCGCCAGTTATTCGGAGGAGAGCGGCTGCAACGCGTTTTCTACCACCGTGCAGCAACAGCAACAACAACAGCCACGACAGCAGCAACTGCTGGCCGCCAGTCGACAATATTGCAGTTTTGGTAGTACAGTCACCGGAAATAATGATAATGATTATGATAAATCTCACTATAGCTAGACTTGCGTATCTACATACGTCTTCGCAGGATGTGGCATCCAAGTCATGTGCCAACTCCACACTTTTACCCCTAAAAAATCCGTCTCCTAACTTAACGGAGTCAGAAGATGAAGATAAAATGTCCCTTGTTCCGGTCTTGTCTCTCAGCAGTTGCTTTAGCATTTCATGGACATATAAAGATTGGACGGACGCGAACCACAAGTGCCTTTACTATCTATTACGAGTTAGAACGTGCTTGCGGCCAATCTCTGTATGTAAAAAGTACAGTACCTAACGTAAAATGTTCAGGTCCGTATTAGGCAGGTTTTTCTCCATTTTTTCAGCTACTTTAGATGTCACATCCTGCGTACACAGTTACGTATGTACGATATGTACGTCTATGCTATACGTACGTACAAACTATCTTTCACTTTCTTTGCTACTATAATAATTATCATTCTCTCTCTCTTTCTCTCTCACTCTCTCTCTCTGGACGACGCTAAACACAATTAGAAATCTATATAAGTAAACTCTGTCGAAACGTTTGAAAATAATAATTAATTGATGTTTGGACAGAGTTGTTGCACTTCTTCACTTGATCACTTCATCTTCCCTTTTTACACACTGGTCTTTCTGGGAGTTTCTGTGGTATTTATGTCTTACAGTATACTTATATCTTTCCTTCAGAATAACTAAATTCCTGTTTTAAAATAATAATAATTATTATTATATATATGTACTATTTGCATTCACTTTTCCTTTTCTAATCAGTAATCACCTTCGAATTTTCGATGTTTTCTATATATTGTAATA